GAGGAGACTTGTTGGAGTAGCTGCCCACTGAATGGATTCTAAGACGGGTTACCTGTAGCCAGTGTTCCTTCTAAGCTGAGTTAGTGTGAGCTAGCTCACAGGATTTTTTAGCCTCCGGCTCACACATTTTTGCCTTAGCTCAGGCAGGAGGGCTCCAGAGCAAACTAATTACGCAACAGAGAAAGAGCGCAAACAGATGGGAGGGAGGGAGAAAAAGCGTGCCTCCCCTTTGCTTCCCCAGCCGCCCTGCCGGGAGCTGCACAATATAGGTGAAAGAGCCGAATTTGGCTCCTGAGCCACAGTTTGGCCACCCCTACACTAGAATGTGTGCCCAGTGAATTTCAGGACAGGCTGGAAGGGCTAAGCAGACGAACAGGGGGGAAATTGCATCCCGCAGAAGTGCAGCACCCATAAGTGGTTCGTTGCAATGGAAAGAAATTTCCAGAAGGGAACTTGAGGTGGGGGCAGGAATAAATCATGTTAAGTATGAGCAGAAAGAGAGAGAGAGCAGAGGAGTAGAGTGGCCGTGGCGGGGGCTGGTTCCAGTTGAATTCCCACTAGGCCCAGGGCTGGAGTCCCTCCACCAACACCGGTCCTGACGCCTGGCGAGTCACCTGTGTCCGGCCCTGGTTCCCAGCTCTCCACTCTTCTCAGCAGAGGCGCCTGAACGAAGGGAGTTTGAGAGGTCATGTGCTCAGGAAAGAGTCAGAGGTCGCGTGAACCAGCTTTGTCACGGGAGAGCGGGGAACTCCCCCTTCCAGAGAGAAGTCCCGCGGATAATTCTCCTGATCCCCTGCAGGGAGGTGGAAAACGTTCTTCCAGAGGGTCTTTGCTTTCCCCATTTTGCTCAGTCCCCTGATTCGGCCACAGACCACGCAAACAAATCTGAGGCCTGAAGCGAGTTTGCAGGATTGTCACCCTGGGGACCAATGCTCCTTCTAAGCTGTGGAATCTTGTGAGCAAAAATCCTACTATGTGAGCTCCTGGCATTAAAGTTGTGAGCGAGCGATTCAGCTGCTGCATCAGTTAGTTTGCTCTGGAGCCCCCTCCTTCCTGAGCAGAGACAAAAACGTGTGAGCCGGAGGCTAAAGAACTGTGAGCTGGCTCACAGTGACTCAGCTTAGGGGGAACACTGCTGGGGAGACTGGATGTGTAAACGGGCTTTCCAGCAGGCAAGCTTTCCTGTTCAGCTGATCCTTTTTCTTTTTCACATTTTTATTCTGATGTTTGGTTCTCGGAAGGCCTTCAGGACAGCTTCCGTCATCAAACGGTGTAGCGGCCTCTGAGATCACAGCTAGCAGGTTCCCATTTTTGACAAGCTGAAGCAAGAGAGCCCAAACTCCTTCTGGAAATTCACTTTGCTGTGTCTTGCTCACAGCCTGAAAGAAGGCTCTTCCTAGCATTCCGATTCACCTGGCGCTGCCGACCTGAACAGTTTCTCCCCATGAGGGGCTGGGGAAATTGCAGAAAGGCCTTCTGGACCCCTGAGCAGAGCCGCTTTGCCCCAAGGGACCTGTCTGATCCCAGGGGGCCAGGGCGTTGGAGAGCGGGGCGTTCCGTTCCCCGCATGCGTGAACGGCTGGGTCTGCGGATGAAGGTTAGCGAGAGGCTAGGGCCGGGGCCGAGACAGGCTGCTGTTCCAACAGCTTTTCCCCTTGAGGGACTTGACAAGAATCAGCATTTTTCTCCCTAATAGAGCTTCAAAACTCTGTTGTGAGCAATTTGGAAATTCACGTCGAGTTTCGGGTTCATTAGCCGCCGCTCTCGGAAAGACGCGAGCATATTCGGAGCGGCCTAATATGGCCGCGGCGCACTAGCGCCTTGCATTAATGTTATTGTTATTTGCGTGGACATAGCGGGGTGCAAACAAGGTTAATTGAAATGAGAACGGCGCTTCCTCTTGGTAATGGCTCAGGCCTGACAGCTGGGAGGAGCTGGGCTTTGCATAAGAGCGGCTTTTATTATCCCTTTTTATTAGAGCTAATTTGATCCCTATATCAAAACCTACATTAAGGGAGTCGTTTGCGGTCACGCCACCGCCGACTGAAAGACCGCCCCAGAGCCCTGTCCTTTGTTTTAATGTCTGCAGTTAAAAGACAATTAAAAATAAACTCTTTGCTTTTTCCCAAGCACCCTTTGTTTTCGTTTCTGTGGGTGGCTCTCGGCGTCCTCTCTTCCTGTCCCCCCCCTCCCCCTCGCTTCTCACTCTAGTGAACTAATTCAGTTAAAGCTTTAACGTGTCCTTTGGGGGAAAGTCAAACCTCCCCCCCCCCCCCCCCCGCCGCCCCCATTAACGGTT